TGTTGTTATGATGTTTTTGATAAGACATATTAGAGAATATTGCATCCTACATCTGACACTTAACCAAGCTAAACGATCATTCATTAATCTTACATTTGTTTGGTATGGGCATTGTAAGATTAAACGAGCTGCCTTATTTTGGGCCACCTGCAACCTGTTCAAATTACTTCCTGTTGTACTGGACCAAATTACAGAACAATAATCTAAGTGTGACAGCACCAGTGCCTGCACCACTTGCTTTAATAAACGATTAGGCATTAATTTTCTGCAGCGCTTAATCACAGCCATACCACTGCCCATCCTTTTAACTATTTGATCTACCTGATTGTTCCAGGACATTTGACTGTCTACGATAATTCCTAATAGTTTTACTTCCATTACTTGTTCTATCTCTGTGTCACCCAAAGATATGTGAAGCTTAGGTGCTTCTCTTAATGAATGTTTAGAACCTAGAACTATACATTTTGTTTTGCCCCTATTTAGAACCAGTTTATTTCGTAGCATCCATTTTTCTGTTAACTCTAATTCCTTATTTAATGTTTTAGTCAATTCATCAGTTGTATATGCTGATGTATAAATTGTCGAATCATCAGCGTACACCGCAACAGTGGCATGATCCAAAATCAAAGGAAAATCATTCATAAATATTGAAAACAAAAGCTTATAACTAATGCTTAACTACTACATTAACTCACACTTTACAGATCACTTGTTAATAGTTTTTTAACCATCTACTAATACCAATGAAACTTTGTAGAACAGCAAATGGGTGGAACAAGTTCAAGGTACAGAAATTTTATGTGATATTTAAAACATCACAGTTTTGTACCTCAACCCTCTTCCACCCATAGACTTTTCTGTGTATTATATTTTACCAAAGATATACAACAGATAGAATGTTGAACATTGTCTTTAATGTATGAGGAATAAATGAGGAATAGTTGCAACTTTAGAATAACGTCCCAATAACATATATAAACTATTAACCGATACTAAACAAGTCATTAGTAAGTAATTCACTAATGGGTTGTTCATGATCTATGACTGGTTTATAAGGTATGGCTGTAAATCATTAATATACAGTTAACAAGTCATTTATAACTCACTAATTAACAGTTTGTAAATGGTTTATTAACTATCTATCAGGCATCGTTATAAATCATCAACAAACTATTAACAAACACTTAACAAGTGGTTAACAACTCACTAATTAACAGTTTACAAATGAGCTATTAACTAGTTATAACGGATAGTTATTATAAAGTGTTACCCAAAGACGTGTGTTTGAATGGCTCCATCATAGAAAATGAAGAGTTAAATTAGTTATTGGAAAGTCAAGACTGCCATGATGTAAACTTATGCTCAGAACTTTATGTATACAGAAGAAAGTTCAGTGAGAGGAGGTGGCCAAAGTTACAGCAGCCCTGTGGTCTCACTGTGGCTTGTGTCAATAATCCAACATCAAACTCTTGTCAGAGACCACCAGCATCCCCACACAAAATTAGATTTGCATTTTCCCTCTAATTTTCTTCTTAGTTCCAGACATGGAAGTCTTGTGCTTTGTATCATCTTGAACACAGTTTTGTGTTTTTAGTGGTACTTCTTATTTGGTTTGACAATAGCATCACTGATTTCAATTCCACTGACGAGAGGTTATCAAAGTTAAATCAGCGGGGAAACCGATAATACTCTCTTTTAAAATATGCTCTTGCACATTTCATAATTGATGACACTGGGGAAATATTGAAGTGAATCAAAAGTTAATGGCCCACATCATTTCATTTTCCCAAGCAGCAATTTCAAAAGAGACGGAGATAACGCAGACTCAGTCGAGAACAGAATTTATTTCACAACTACGTTCGTAGCTGTGGTCTGTTGCACTTTTGATGACTTTGGAAAATTAACAAGCATGTGCTGTCTGGTGCTTGTACAACAAAACAGTTCAAGAGACACTTGCTGAACGGTGACCGCACTGTGTGACAAAGCGCTATCAACCGAAGGTCCGCAGTTTGGAGCCTTTGAATCTCACAGTTGTCATCATGGAGGCAGTTTAAGTGTCATTACGTTGTCAGTCATGTGATAGCGAGTCGTTGTGATCAATATAAGTCAGTACACGGCTGAAAACTCTGAGATGTGGCTGAAAGATTTGAAAATTGTCAGTCATATTGATGCCAGGGTGAGGAATGAGCTTTCATGGTGGAGATAACCACCTTGTATTTATGCATTTATCAAATCTCTTCCCAAAATATACAAGTGTTATCAGTGTGTTTTGGTATGAAAATGGTTAATCGGTACATGTCTAATTACTGGTTTAGCAGAATATGAACATAAAACAGGGCAAGATAGTCGGTAGACAAAACATAACAGAACTTTGCAATGCTGATCATTTCATTTAAATAGAACAAGTATACCAAAGTGTGAGGGGTGTTTGTGAGCGAGCGCTGCACACCGCAGGCACAGCGAGTCAGAACGCGTTATTTGTTGGCGAAACCAGCGCGGACTTGTAAAATAAATAAAAAAGAAGGCAGTTCCTTTCTCCTCTGTTGCAATAAACTGAATATAAATCTTACTTTTTAGCAGGCACATGAAATTGAATTCCAATGTGTGTGTTGGCACACAACGCACTGAGTGAAATAACCCGGTCATCTGGCCATCGCAGTTTGGCTCTTGTCAAAGCCACTCAGATCCTCACACTTGCCCATTTTTTTTCCCCCAGTTCCAACAAATCAACTTCACGAACTGACTTTTCGCTTGCAGCCTAATATATCCCACCCAGGGCCGGATCTAGCTTGATATAGTGCAGTGTGCTGGTGGAAATAATTGATAAGCAACTTGAGCAGTAGGTAGCCCAGAGGTTAGGAAAGTGGATTAGAAGGCTGTTGTTTAAAGGCTTCTTCTCTTTGGAGATAGGTGTTGTTGTGTGATCCCTGACATTAACAAGCAAGACAAACAAATGTTAAACTAATGTTAAACTAACCTCTAATCCAATCCAAAGCAATCCATCACAAGTTAGAGCATTCTATAGGTTGGAGTGTGGGACTTTTCACAAGCAGAGGGACCATGTTTGTGTTTTTACTCCAGGATACACTCTGCAGGCAAATTAGGACGT